TCCTTCTGTAGAACCACAGCTCCGGCGTCTCGAGTCTCTTCTTCATCTTTGAGGTGACCGTCCAACATTAGCTGTCGTAAAGGGGGACAGATGTTACATCACAGCTCAGTATTCTTTTCTTTGTTACCAAAGAAATCCTCCTGTCTCGCAATACTCTGCCCAGCTTTTGGAACGCTTTCTTGGCCATCCCAATACGTCCATAGTTTCGCACTTTCCGTCCTCTGTCAGAATGCTTACCAGATATTTAAACTTCTGTGTCTGCTTGATTCTAGTGTCCTTAACCTGCAAATCACATTTCAGGCCCATCCTTTTACTGATGACCATGCATTCTGTTTTCTTGTAGTTTATGCTTAGTCCCTTCTTCATGCTCTCTATCATGGCCTTCTGTAGGAGATTTTGTAATTTCTTTTCTGTGTCTGTTATCAGTACTGTGTCATCTATGTATCTTACATTGTTAGGATTGTGGCCACCAATGCTAAATCCCGGTAGGGTTTACAATTCTTCCAGAATTTCCTCGCTGTCTAGGTTGAACAGGTTGGGTGAGAAGACACATCCTTGCCTTATATCCCTTTCTATTTTTGTATATTTGCTGAACTTGTTCTCTATGTGCATTCATGCTGGTTGCTGCCAGTATAGTTTCTTGATTATTCAGATATCTTTCCTGAATATATCAAGGTTGCTGAGCACTTCCAGCAGATCCTTGTGGCATACTTTATCGAAGGCCTTTCCGTAGTCTATAAAACATAGGTACACGTTCATTTGTATTTCCTTTTCTGATAACATTTTGAGCATGAATATTGCATTCCTTGTTCCGGTGTCTTTAACGAACCCGCACTGATCTTGTCCTATTTCTGGCCTGTTTCTGCTGCACGCTGTATTCATCAGAATTTTGATGATGAGTTTTGTTACATGGCTCATTAGGCTGATTGTTCGGTGGGAACATGCCCTTAATAAAAAACAAACTTTTATCGTCAACATCTTTATGTTATTAAGAGAAAAGACCGAAGGATTTTTTCATAACTAAATTATATTTTTTGATCCCTTCTAGAAACTTCAAATTTTTAGCGGGTACCATAGATTACTATAGGAAATTTTTAGCGGGGGTGGGGAACAGAGATTAACATAGAAAATTTTTACCGAGGGCGCCATAGATTGATATATGAAATTTTTAGCGGGTACCATAGATTAATACAGCAAATTTTTAGCGGGGAATAATAGATTAATATAGGAAATTTTTAGCGGGTGACCATAGATTAATACAGGAAATATTGCACTGCTAAATCTTTATATTATTTAAGACTCCTTGGAAAATTTAAATCATCCATTGTCTTGTAAATCAAAACTCCCAAGTTTGCAAAAATCTGCTTCGAGTCGTAAAATAAAATATGCAATAAAAATAAGACATTTAATTAGAAATGCTTTTAAATGCTTTATGAATAATTTATATTATGGATTTATATTTTTCGATGTATAATGAATTTTTACAAGAATTATTTCCATTTTTTAAAAAATTAAAATTAAAATGATTTATAAAGTTTTAAATCTTTTAAATTTCTATATTAATTTTTACTAGTTAGGTGATATTGTTATTAAGGGGACACTGTATTTGCTAATCATAAATAGAAAATATTACTACAATTAAGCAAAACCCAATATTTTAAAAAGAATTTTGAATTTTTTTTTTGTGGGGGGGAACTTTTGTAAATACGTCCTTAGATGAGCTTATCAGAAAATAAGAGCGATAACTATATTAAATTTAAAACCAAAGTAACTAAAATTCGATAAAACATTAGATTACAGAGAATGTTTTCCTAAAATTTATAAGATTACTGGGTAATTAAAAATTACATAAAAAGTCGTTCACGTTATATTGCTATTTTCGTAGAAAAAAATTACATAAACTTCCGGCTGTCAATCAAGCTGTCAACACCTTAAATAAACTCCTACCTCCGTGTTAAAAATGCTTTTCTGCGATTTTTTAATCTAAAATTAATCAATATTTAGTTCAGAAACTTTAAATCAGCTAATATTCTTCAAATAAAGTTTCAGAAAACTATATTTAAAAAATATTTGTTTTAATAAAGAGAATTACATTATGATGACAGATGGCTAAAATTGGCGATAAAATCAGCGACTTCGAAACATAAATTACTTCTAGTTAATTTAAATGAGTCCTGAAATGCAACAATGTATCTTGCTTATTGGAAATATTAAATTAAATAGCTTGAAAAAAACCTTCAAGAAAGATTTTCCATTTAAAATATCACTTTAATACTCAGGTAAACCGTTTCTGCGTAAGTAACTATATATATATATATATATATATATATATATATATATATATATATATATATATATATATCTGTATTCTCATGAAAACACTCCAACGAGTGCACAGGATCGCCTCGTCAGTGATGTTATGACTTGGGGTCATGACAAGTTTCGGGTCTTCCAACATCATACTTGTTCGCCCAAGAGACCCTACCGAAATATTAATATTCCGGCAGACGATCCTGAAGCAAAAAAAAATCCGCCAAGCACGCAACAAATGGACTCATTAAATAAATGCCACTGCTGATCTTGAAATGACAAGCGACCAATCATTAACGACTTACGTCACTTCCTCCTTCACCCGCTACGATACAAAAAAAGAATAATTATTCACCCGCTGCCCCACGCAGCAAGATGTGGCACAAGGCCGAGATTAAAGTGGGGTATCCGAGCCCGTAGATACAAAAAAAAAAAAAAATATAGACAGCATGCTCGTTTTTTTTTCCATCTTAGGTCCAACACACGGAAAGATCCATTCTCAAGGAACAGTTTGACATAACAGGTAATAATGGCAAGAAAAGTTTCCTTTCATATGAAGCATTACTTTAACAAAAAAAAAGAAGTATCGAACACATTCGTTGGTCATAGGAATTAGGATCAAATGAATAAATATAAATAAATGTACGTGTAAGTGTTAACATACAAATATATATATATAGATATATATATATATATATCTTTTCGTGTAAGAAAAACTGTTCTCAGTGCTAAAGAGCTGCTCCAAATTAGTAGATTCCATGCCAAATTACATCAAAGACCTTCTAAAAATAAGGTGTACATACAAAGTACTAACATGTGCTCTTTTTTCCATCTTAGGTTCACCACGCGGAAAGATCCACATTCTCAAGGAACAGTTTGACATAACAAAAAAAGTTTCCTTTCAGATGAAATGTTACTTTAACAAAAAAAAAAAAATTGTTAAATATAACAGTCAACGAATGTCTATTATGTTTAATCATGAGCCGTTCTAAGCTTCGTATAGTTGCTTTAATTTTGGGAGAAAATAAAGACAAAAATTGTCTAAATTTTAAGGCTTGCGTCTGCTATTCCGCAACCGTTATCATTGCATAGTAATCTTCTATGTCAACATAACAGAATATCACCTTTGAATATCTTTGTTTAAATGTCCATATAACAACTCTGAAGATGGCTCATGTCAGCCAAAAACTTAGATCAAGGAACAACTTGATAAAAAAATATCCAAATGTTGGACAATGTAGTGTATCAGTTTACCCGCCTGTTCAGAGATTGTATATCTGATGCCAATAATAAACCCACTACATATATTGGTTTTACTACAACCACACTATCCCGTAGACTTACCTGTCACCTTTCTGATCTTAGTTCTATTAAGCAACATTTCTTAGAAAAACATAGCCATGTACATAATATTACACAGATCTTAGTTGATAACACAACAATACTCACACATACATACAGTAAAAAGAACCTTCAGATATTGGAGGCCCTCTACATTAAAACAAAGCAACCTAGACTCAACAAAATTATATTTCAAACTAGTCACAACAGATTACAGTGCATCTAGACATATGATTCTGTTGTTAATATTCGGTCTCTCACGTGGTATGACGTCATAGAACAGCATCATGAATTTACAACATGCATCTGCTATTCCACAACCGTTATCATCGCATGTGATATATATATATATATATATATATATATATATATATATATATATATATATATATATATATATTTCTTTAATAGAAATATTATTAAAAACAACAGACATTTTGTGGTGATTAATTTTACTGATCAACTTTTCCAAATTACAACTCGTCCTTCTCGGAGAAGGTGGAATTCGGAAGTTTTCAACATCAGGGTAAAGACAAATGATATGGCTACTGACGTATGCTATTTAAGTGTTTTGCTTAAATTTTATATATATATATATATATATATATATATATATATATATATATATATAAAATTTTATATGATATATATATATGCATGTATGTATATATATGTGTGTGTGCGCGCATGTGTGTGTGTTTATGTGTCTGCGTGTTTGTGTGCATGTGTGTGTGTATATGTGTCTGTGTGTAAAGGTGCTTGTGTGTGCAAGAATAATTTTACCAAAATGCTTGCGTGGGTAGTAATGGGTATTCAAAATGGCATCAAATATTAATTCAAGCGAATGAGAAATGGTCATTTGCAAATTGGCGAACTGCTCCCAGAAATTCCAAGCAAGTTTCAGAATGTCATAGGAAGGAATTTTATGTCAGGCACATTTGAATCTACGGAGCTTGTTTGTTTGTTTTTTCTTTTCTTTTTTTCTTTCTTTCTTTCTTTCTTTCTTTCTTTCTTTCTTTCTTTCTTCCTTTCTTTCACATTTACTTGTGTGCAAATACCCTTGACATAGGTATGAATCCATCCCTTCACTCGCATCTGTAGTTTAAATTGTAGGACTTGCATATGGAAAAATCATTGGTACCATCTATCTATCTATCTATCTATCTATCTATCTATCTATCTCAGTCTGTACATCCCTCCCTCTTTCTCTCTCTCTCTATTTCATTCTGTTCATATATATATATATCTATCTATCTATCTATCTATCTATCTATCTATCTATCTATCTCTATCTATCTCTGTTCATCATCTATCTATCTATATATCTATCTAGCTAGCTATCTCAGGAGCTTACTCCGGTTCTCGTACGATGACCGAAGTTAAGCAACATTGATCCTGGTCAGTACCTAGATGGGTGACCGCTTGGGAATACCAGGTGCTGTAAGCTTGGATACCCGAGGGGGGTAACGACATGGAATTGAAATATTCTGAGGAGAATTTGGAATGATAAATGTTGCTATCCATTGAAAAGGATTTTTAGATGAATTGAATTCAGAAGCAATTATTCGCATAATTATCAAATGACACATAAACAATTTCGCTTAATATAATGGACTCTGCAATCAATACTCTGTTATGCTTTAAAACTATTTGTGAATTTTGTAGTCAGCAAACTATTTAAAATATCAACCAATTACTTAAATATAAATATCAACCAATTACTTAAATATAAATATCAATCAATTACTTAAATTTGAAAATGAATATATAAAAAAATGAAATTATAACATTCTGTATTTACGTTTCATATATATATATATATATATATATATATAAAGAAAGAACAGTAAGATATAAAATCCGGTGTTCTTATAGATATTTTTATTTTTACAAAATAGTGCTCAATGTAAATTTACAATGCATTAATATTATAAATTAATTGATTTAAAATATGTTTTTTTTTCGCTACACAGTTCCAACCATGTTTCAAAATAGAAGCTAAAAACCCTGAATTTAATTTTGCAATTAAATTAAAAGCATTAGTTCCATTTCATCTTCAAGCGAAAAATTCGCTTGAAGATATATATATATATATATATATATATATATATATATATATATATATATATATATATATATATATATATATATATATATATATATATATATATTTCAATAGATATATATATATATATATATATAGTAGTAATCGTATGGGCACCTCGGCGTGGTGTGATGGTTAGCAAACTTGTCTTGCTAGCACAATTACGAATGGGTAGTGAGTTCGATCCTCACTGGGTGCCCTATACTTTCGGCCTTGTGCCACATCTAAGCTACGCTTGGAAAATCGCTACACTGTAATAATCGTACTATATTAACGTATTATGCAACTTTTGAAGACAGAATTTTGAAGCTAATTTGACAACAGTAATAGAATATAACGGGTGTAACAGCAAAATTGTCCAATTGTTAGATTAAATTCTGAACCTTGTATCTTAGAGTTGATTAAAGATATCTTACCGGAATTCTCCGAGTTTTTTATAACACTACTTTGAGTAATAAGAATGTATAATTACTCTCCAAGCTTAAGAGAAGAATTGTGATGGAATCGATCATAAACGAAAATGACATGTTCATCATTAATTAAGCATAGCTAAGGATCGGAAGCTCGTGAAGGGTTGAAATAAGGTTCAAATATATATATTATTCCACGATCATTTTCCAACTTATTCAAGATGATCTTCGCCTTCTCTAACCTTCTAACTTTCTGTCCTGGAGTAACAAGGTACTTCACAGGTTTCACCTACGATTTCATTTTGAAGTCTTTTTTCACTGCTCTTTGGACTGTCATAGCTGAAACTCCTCTTTCACGTATCAAACGTCTTATGGATTGAGTTGGATCTTTTTTAATTGATCTCTTTAGCTCTAACTTGAAAGAATGATCCCTCTTGGTGTTGTTACCAGTTTTCTTTACTATTCCCACTTTTTTAAAAAACTTATTCACTGTTCTCTTGATAGTTCTTTGAAGATGGAAACCAGAGTATTAGTGTTGTTACCATTACTGAAGACCTGAATGATCTATTTCCACTCAATACTGGTCAGTTAGGAAGACAGTGGGTCTGACACAAAATGATTTTTAACCTGTTTTCTTTTTAACTGAATAACTCAAAGGGATTTTCATTGATTCTTACGATAAATGGCGTATCTTTTAAAATTCCTCTGCGTCTTATATGCCATATGAAGGTTTAAAATTCGCGATAGTCGGCCGAAATTAGCTACCTGGCATCTTAGATTAGCTTAGACTTTAGAGTACCTTTCATATACCTATTGTCATTATTTAAAAGGCTATTATGCAGATTAAAAGTGTTATCATTAATAATATTCATTATATTAATTTCATCACGTTTAATAATAGTACTTTGTTTCACTAAAATTATATGCAATAAATTCAAATTATATATTTGTAAAATATATTTGTTTCATTAATATTTTTCTTGTGATGAACTTCCAGTTGCATTGGTATAAATACAATCAGAATTTTTATATCCTAATTATTCCACTAAGACGTTTACAAGACACAGATTGTACAGATCATATAAAGGAAAATCTTTGACTGAATTTTAATGGTAACTGTACTGTTTTGCTCAATTGTAATAATTGCTTGATTTTTAACTTGTTTTCTTACCTTTGGATATAATAAAGTTTTTTTTTATAGGCTCGTGTTCTTTTTTCCTATTATTTTTCATTTAATTGTAATCGTGGCTTGTTTAACCAAAATAATACCTCATAAATATAGCCTAGGCTGTACCATTTACTAATAATTTTACTATTTTTTTCTTGATTTGCCCAGCTGAAATTGGGGTGCGTCTTATACACCCGTGCGTCTTATATGACGTCAAATATTGTAGTTTATTGATTTTTAGATATTAAACATTTTGTGGGATGGATAATTATGCTGTTATATGATTTTGCTGTTACACCCGGTATAGTTGGGTTAATGGCGCAGCCAGGGCCAGCAGTCCATACGTTAATTTTATACCTCATGTATGATGCGACCCTCTTAAAATTAGCTTCAAAATTAGATCTTCAAAAGTTGCAGGATACACGAGCTTATACGGTACTAATAAATAGACATTTTTTTCCACACAAATTTTAATTGTATCGATTTTTTCCACATATATATTTGTAAATTTTATTTATTCGTTATGAAAATTAAATGATTGTTATTTTGGGTGATCCCCCCACACCTTGGTCTCGTGGCAACCAATATTTTTCGAACCAGTCCGCCACTGCGCATGCTCTACTGATATTTCCATGTTAAATGTTCATTTCGGTGTAATCCTGAACACTTTAATCTCAACCTTATCCTCATAATCTTCACTTCCTACAACCCCCTCTTTCATTCCTATGACACACCTCATTCACCATAACCATTTTAACAGTGACCCCCTACACTACAATCTTAACCTCTTCAAGTAAAAGCTCAATCATTATCTATCCTCCTTATCCTCATATTCATATTTTTTGTTCATATCACACATCTCATTCATCATAACCATTTTAACTGTAATACTCTACATTGAGTGGACCTCGAGCCTTGTATTAGGTAAACTTTATTTTTTTAAATTATATAAACACAGTTTTAACCATGCCTTCATATTTTGTTAAGTATTTAATATTATTAAATTGTTTTCACATGTGACTTTTATGCACATATTTTTTAAATGAGGAAAAGGGGTTTGGAAAACTTAACCTTCACAAGGCATATTGAGGGCAAGACAGATAGGAAACCAGGTATATAGAAGAATCAATTCTGGTGGAAGTCCTTTTATTACTTGATACTAATAGAAAACCGATCCCTCAATTTATGGACAGTTTAATCTGATATTGATAGCAATGATATAAAAAACGATTTTTTGTAAAGTTCTTACCATGAAACGAAGGTAGATTTTTAAATATATTAGCATAAATAGTACCCGTCAAAAATTTCTAGATTACATATAGAATAGCAGTACAGTATGCGTGCCGTATCTAGACTCAAACAATCTTACGTCGGCCCATCGTAATATCCGTGAGCTGTGCCTATTATTTCCAAGTTTTTGTTAGCATTTGAACTGATCATCATTGTCGTGTTTTCAAATTTTTAACAGAACCTCAAGTAAACCGGATGCACCAGTCGGTTGGTCTGGGTTCACTTCCGGCTACCAAATACAGAGTCAACAGGAGATAACTGATAACTGACCTCCATTAAACATGGCACGTGGAACTAGAACAGTCTAGACAAGTGAGCGAAATAAAGGGTTCAGTTCGACATTCCAACCACCTGAAGAAGGCCGGAGTGTACAACGGCCGAAACGTTGTAATAAATATGGCGACAAAGATGAGGTCAATAGTCCGAATAAAGTAAATATTGTTGACGTTATCGCTAAAATTTTTTCTCGAGATTTACAAACTCTACGTTTTGTTCAATTTCGCAAACGAATCGATGAAATTTGAATAAGCTGATTTGTTTGGAAAAATACTTTCACAAAATAACCTTCTTCGCGGTTTAAATCTTATAGGACTTCATGGTAAACAATGGTTTTTAAGAAAATTTCTTTTTTTCCTTTTTAACAGCGAAGAATAAATTCTTAGGATTTCTTACTCTTGAGCATGCAACATACAACTGGGCATGTGTAAATATTTCTTTGTCGAGCCAAATTCCAACTTTTTGAAGTTTTTAGCCATGTGATTTGTTTATAGTTCTCGAAAACGCAGACGCTTATATATATATATATATATATATATATATATATATAGAAGAAATTATATGCAAAAGCTACGCACTAGTAAAAACGATTGCACTTTATACTCCTTTTATCTGTTTTCACTTCTCTCCAACATTATCAATATATGGTTATTTTAGAGGGTGTGACGGCAGACTGGCGGAAGTCACAGAATTTTATATATAGAGAATTGTGTATCTATATTTCTGAGATGAGGTATTGTAATTATATTTACATTGTTCAGACTTTGTCCTCATCATTATTGCTATTCACGACGTTTCAGTCGTTGTACGATCCGTCCATCTTCAGGAACGGTCTATATTTCTGAGATGAGGTATTGTAATTATTTACACTATTTACATTGTTCAGACTGTTGTCCTCATCCATATTCACGACGTTTCGGCCGTTGGTTCCTTCTTCAGGAACTTCTATATTTCTGAGATGATTGTAATTATTTACACTATTTACATTGTTCAGACTGTTGTCCTCATCATTATTGATATTCACGACGTTTCAGTCGTTGTACGATCCGTCCTTCTTCAGGAACGGTCTATATTTCTGAGATGAGAAATTATTTATATTTACATTGTTCAGACTGTTGTCCTCATCATTATTGCCATATTCACGACGTTTCGGCCGTTGTATCCGTCCTTCTTCATATTATTTCTGAGATGAGGTAT